TAATTTACAACCACAAAAATGTGATTACACACAAATACATAATATTCTTTCACTATTACAACCGGACTTAATAAAAAATCACATAGCACCAACTCTTGTGATTAAGATCGATGAATACATTATGTCATTCAAATAAATATATCAAACAGTTACAAGTACATGTATCTTGAAAGTTTGAATGTGCATGTAAAATTCAATAACAAATTATTATTTACAATGGTTTTCTTACAACTTAGGCATGCTGTGTCTTACTATTCCCCCCAGCCGAGTCTTACTACTTTGACATGCTGAGTCTTACAACTCTAACACGCCGTCTTACTACTCCGACTAGCCGAGTCTGACTACTCTGACGCGCTGAGTCTTACTACTCTAACACGCTACGTCTTACTACTCTGCCACCTGCCACGCTACGTCTTACTACTCTGACACGCTATGTCTTACTACTCTGACACGCTATGTCTTACTACTCTAACACGCTACGTCTTACTTCTCTGACACGCTACGTACTCTACCACGCTACGTCTTACTACTCTGACACACTACGTCTTACTACTCTGACATGCTACGTCTTACTGCTCTGACACGCTACGTCTTACTACTCTGACATGCTAGTCTTATTACTCTGACACGCTACGTCTCACTACTCTGACATGCTAGTCTTATTACTCTGACACGCTACGTCTTACTACTCTACCACGCTACGTCTTACTACTCTGACACGCTACGTCTTACTACTCTTGACATGCTACGTCTTACTACTCTGACACGCTACGTCTTACTACTCTGACACGCTACGTCTTACTACTCTGACATGCTAGTCTTATTACTCTGACACGCTACGTCTAACTACTCTACCACGCTACGTCTTACTACTCTGAAACGCTACGTCTTACTACTCTGACTCTTACTACTTTGACAAGGTTAGTCCTACTACTATGAGTCTTACAACTTTGACAAGGTAAGTCTTACCAAGTCTTACTACTCTGGCACATAGCATCTTACTACTCTGACACGCTGAGTGTTACTTCTCCGACACGCTGCGTTTTCTACTTTGACAGGCTGTGTCTTTCCTCTCTGATACGCTGCATCCTATTACTACGACTAGCTGAGTCTTACTACTCCAACAAGCAGAATCTTACTACTCTTGACACGCTGTGTTTTCCTTATTTCACGCGCTGTGTCTTCCTTATTTGACACGCTGAGTCTTACTATTTTTACACACTGAATCTTACTTCTCTGACACACTGCGCCATACCACTCCGACTAGCTGAGTCTAACTACTCCGACTGGCGGAGTCTTAGTACTCTAACTAACTGAGTCTAACTTCTGTGACACGCTACGTCTTACCAATCTGACACGCTACGTCTTATCAATCTGACACGCTACGTCTTACCAATCTGACACTCTGAGTCCTACTATTCTGACCAACTGAGTCTTACTACGACTAACTGAGTCTCACTGCTCTGACACTCTGTGTCTCTCACGCTGAGTCTTACTACTCTGACAGCCGGACTTCAAAAAATTTACACTACACGGATATTAAAGTGTATCCTTCTGAAGTCGAACCGACCAGGCGTTGCATTTGAGCAGTCGCACAATAGAGTCATCAGATACTAGTATTGCATTTTCGATTCCATGTTTATATGACATCCCACACATTTTATGACTTTGAAGATACGATTACTTTTGTTTCAATAATGCATGAAAATAATCAGATACAGTTATGTCTTTGTCAAAATATGCTTAAATTTCTAAACATTGCAAAGTAAATTTCTGGTTGCTATAATTTCAACGAAGACGTTACATAATTATAAAGAAAAACAATTAGTAACGACAATTGAAGACAAGGAAATCACTTAATGCGTTATTCATAATATAAATAAAAGACCTTTTGACCTGTCCAATGTCGCGCAATCTTCTGATGTTTAGGATTGTTTATTGTTTATTTTATTGATACGCTAATTTTGCATCCATGTTGATATGATTCGTTGTAAAAATGATCGAATATAGCAATTTCTGAATACTGCAAATATTAACCCACATCTAAACATTTAGCAGAAAAGTTAGCAATCTATTGGATACTTTAAATTTAGCAAAAGCTACCTGTACACATGTGTGCATGTGATATAATCTTTGATCTTGTAAAGTCATGAAGAACAATTGAAATTATTTAACGAAAATTCTACTTTAAATTGTTTTTGGAATCTGCAGATACGTTTTTTCATCTTCGTATTGAATTTAATTCAATTTCATGTAATTTTGTTTTCAGCATATTTACAGTCTACTTTATCTTCTTTGTAGAATTCGAGCATTTCGAGACATTTTAATGTCTTTACGGTGGGAGTAAATAAGTATGTACGCGTAAAAAAGCAAAAACAATAATAAGACACAAATGGTGAAAACATATCACACATGATTAGGCGATTGTCTGGCAGTTTTCTTGTTCATCATATATGCAGAAACATTGAACTGTCTATGGTTTCTATATATAACTTTGGTTTTCTTGAAATGTCAATCATTTCCCAATCCCTGAGAATTTACGCTGTTATCACTATGACACTTTCAAAGAAACATTGAAACTACTTTAGCAGGTTCTTCAACTTTCAATTTCTCTAACCAATATGTAGCCATTGGCCCCTTTCCCTACAAACATACGCAAAATATTAGTGTATAATTTCATTAAAAAGTGTAGTTTTTTTTGTTGTTGTCACCAACCTAGACGCTAAGATTAGGTTGAAAGATTTGGTGTTTGCTTTATGTCGCATCAGCGCAAAAAGGCTGTATCACGCCGACCAAAGATAAAATATCCCGTATTTAATGTGTGTCATGTAACCAACAAAATTCTCATATAGATAAAAGAAGATGTGGTATGAGTGCCAATGAGACAACTCTCCATCCAAGTCACAATTTGTAAAAGTAAACCATTTATAAGTCAAAGTACGGTCTTCAACATGGAGCCTTGGCTCACACCGAACATCAAGCTATAAAGGGCCCAAAAAATGACTAGTGTAAAACCATGCAAACGGGAAAACCAACGGTCTAATCTATATAACAAACGAGAAACGAGAAACACTTATGAACCACATCAACAAACGACAACTACTGAACATCAGATTCCTGACTTAGGACAGGTGCAAACAAATGCAGCGAGTTTAAACGCTTTAATAGGTACCAACCTTCACCCTTATCTGAAACAATAATGTAACATTACAACATAGAAAGACACATTATAAAATATCAATTGTAATGGCCTCACTTAATCAAAAGACATATTAACACAAGTGAACATACACTGAAAGAATAAATTTGATCTGTGATACAATGTAAATACAAAATCAATAAAATAAGGGATGAATAAATAAAGGCAACAGTAGTATACCGCTGTGAGATGTTAAACAACTTAAAAAAAACAACAACCTTGAACAAAAAGCCGCCAAATACAATAATATACACAGGTAAATGAAAATCGGTATACCTGTTAAAACCAAACTGTTACTGTATGTCTATAATTTCCAACATATAACTTTAATTTTGTATAAATGCAAGTGTGAAAATATATAAGATCACAATATTTCATATAATAAGCATTGAATTTTAGAGACCGATTATTTGTATAAATGATCATAAATGCCCGTTATCATTTTTATTTAGTCTCCTTTCCGATAATGAGTATGAATCGATGTACACATACGTTTATTTATAACTAATTGTAACACCTCTAGATTTTTCGTAGGCTATGCATTAAACTTGTTTGTCCAAAAACCCCTTCGTTTAACAGTATTTATATGTTAGCTGACATCTAATGTAAATACAATTTCTGGTTAAATACTTTCTTGGCAAGTATTGTATTTCTTATATATATATTTATACAATTTCACAGTCCTTTATTCTCTTCCAGTAAAGATTATTCACATGGGTTCCTGCGCAAAGTTCTGCTTTTTCGGTTGCTTGTGTCTCAAAAACAGGCATAAGGACCTAGTTTTAATTTCTCCTATTACCTTATAATTGATAAGTACTCATTATGTACCATAAAAAGGAGTCATGTATGTAAATGATGATACCTTAATCAAAGTACATAATAAAAAAGATCTGCCGTAAAAGGTAATGAGACCTAAATAAAACCTTACAACACAGGTTAAATATTATAGACCTCAACCTTACAATACGGACCCGTCCATTATAGACCTGAACCTTACAACACAGGTCAACCATCATACACCTCAACCTTACAACACATATCAACCATTATAGACCTGAACCTTACAACACATGCCGTCCATTATAGACATCTACCTTACAAAACGGGCCATCCATTATAGACCTCTACCTTACAACACGGGTCGTCCATTATAGACCTCTACCTTACAACACGGGTCGTCCATTATAGACATCTACCTTACAACACAGGCCGTCCTTTACAGACCTCTACCTAATTACAACACGGCCCGTCCATTATAGATTTCGACCTTACAACATAAGTCAACCATTTTAGACCTCAACCTTACAATACATGCCGTCCATACTGATTATAGACCTCAACCTTATAACACAGGTTGAATATTATAAATCTCAACCTGAAAGCACGGGTCGTCCATTGTAGACCTCTACCTTTCAATACGGGCCGTCCATTATAGACCTCTACCTTACAACACATACCGTCCATTATAGATCTAAACCTTACAACACATGCCGTCCATTATAAACCTCTACCTTAAAACACAACCTTACAATACATATCAAGCATTATATACCCCACCCTTACAACATAGGTAGTCCATTATAAATATAAACCTTACAACACAGGTCGATCATTACAACACATATCGATCATTATAGACCTCAACCTTACAACACAGACCGACCATTATAGACCTTATCCTTACAACAAAGGCGACCGTTATAAACATTAACCTTACAATACAGGTCGTTCATTATAGTCCTCAACCTTATAACACGGACCAACCTTACAAAACAAGACGACATCATAGGTCTTAACCTTACTACACAGGCCCTGTTATAGACTTTAACTTTACAACAGAGGACTACAGTTACAGACATCTAGACATTACTATAAGGCTTCAACCTTACAACACAGTCCTACAATTATATACATCTAGAGATTACCGTAGGGTTTTAACTTTACATCAGAGGACGAGCATTACAGACATCTAGAGATTATCATAGGGATCAAACCTTACAAAAAAGTCCTACCATTACAGATATCTAAAGGTTACCATAGAGATTCATACTTACATCATTAGATGATTATTATTGACATATGACGTTACCATAGGTTTTCAACCTTACACCATAGGTCGACCATTATAGACATATAGTCTAGAGATTACCATAGGGATTCAACATTCAACCATAGACCGACTATTACAGGCATCTAGAGAATATCACATGTCTTAATCTTTACAACATTGGCCGAACATTATAGACATCTAGAGATTACCATAGGACTTCATCTGACAACAGAGGACGACCATTATAGACATCAACAAATTACCAGAGGGCTTCAACCTTACATCATAAGCCGACCATTATATACCTTTTGAATCAACCACAAGACTTAAAGCAACACAAGTCGACCATAACAGACATCTAGAGATATTCGTAGGGCTGCAATGATCGATCTCTGTGTTCGTCGCAATGCCAGCTATAAAAAGTTTCGTCAAGAAAAAATGAATCATAAAAAAGACACCTAACTTGCTCTTTACTTCTTTACATCCTTGTCTTTTGGTTTTTGGTGGATAGTAGACTCATTGGCAATCCTATCATATCTTTTTATTTTAATTTGATATCAGAGTAGCAAGTTTATTCTGCTCAGTGAAGGAATTTTCACTTTAACGAAATAGGCACATAAAAAGAGCACGATAAGTTACCTTTACATCAATGATACCTCTAAACTCAGTTACATAATTCCCATGATCGTTTAACATAGCTTGTGTGACACTGCTTATGTGTATTCTTCCACCTGAAATAAAACAGACATCCATTGCAATAATTTCAATGATCGATTGTAGCTGCTCGTGGAAACATACCCATGTGTTCCTGTCCATATTATATCAGTGGCCATAGTGAAATTGATATGAGCTTTTGCTCAGAATTGAACTTAAAAGTCCTCACTTTAAGATGGAAAACAGAAATAAAAGCGCTGTTCCTTTCATTCGATCTTGGCAAGTGCGAGTAGTGATTTTGTGCTATACACTTATATAACACCATTTATCGATTTTTCAACCGATTATGTATGGCCAACATTTTGAAGGAAATATGTGATTAGTCTTACCCATGCCACTAGACTCCATTCTGGATGCTGTATTGACTGTGTCTCCAAACAAACAATATCTTGGCATTTTAGTACCAACTACTCCAGCAACACATGGTCCTTAAACATATCAGATACATATATACAATACATAAAAGATATAATAGGACCTACCAAAAATGTCGGACAAACCAACAGACAACAACAACAACTAACACTGCATATATAACAGTTGAATGTTTGGTCAAACTAACAGAAGGAAGCATTTGAGCAACAGCAACTTCAACTTTATATTCCATATCACTTCCATTTACATGTACCAATGACATTACTTGAAAAATTATTATGCAAACAGGGTGAAATACCAATGAGTAAATTGCAGGCATATTTAATTTGAAAATTACAATATATGTACTTTAAATGTCAATTTTACTGCACTTATATAACATTATGTAGGAGTTTTTCGTTGTAACCACACTCATCGACAAGTTACTTTAATTCGAATAACAAACAAGAGTATGCAAAAAAACCTAATTTGACATATATGAAACAGTTCCTTCAAGTTGATATAAACACACACTCTACCAAAAGTATAATCTACCTTTATTCAAAACTTTAACCTGATACAAGACGGAAGGACGCATGCACATGCCGGAAAACATTATGCCCTTTACTATCGTATGCGGGGCACAAACATGCCATCTTAATGAAAGTTATTTGTATAACAAACCTGAATGTACTCCAATCCTTATCTGCAGAGTTCTACCCGGCATGTGTGGTATAGTATACCCACTGACTTCCTGTCGGATTCTTAATGCCATTAATGCTATTTCCGGTGCATGATTTCCTCCATTATGTGTCGGTACACCACTTGCCACCATATAAGCATCTCCAATCGTTTCCACTTTATAAACATCATACTTATCTATGCATTCGTCAAATAAACTAAAATATAAATATAATTATGATTATGTAATTGTTTGTGGGAAGTTTGATAAAAGCATCAATTATAATTTCACATTCTACAACACAATCATTTACAGTACTATAATAATGCACACACGCACCCCACATCTCCATTAAATTTTTCCTTTTTGAGAGGATGGACGGATAGTTTGATGAATTGATGAATGGATGGATGTGTTCATGGATGAGTGGATAAATTGATGACTGGCCGACTCGATGGATGAATGGAAGAGTGAATGAATGGATTGATTGGTATTTAACGTCCATTGGCATTTATTCAATTGCTTATTCAGGACTTTCGAGGGTATTGCTGATAGAGTTTCATATAGAAACATTGGACTTGCAAGGGTATATCTGACAAAGTTTCATAGAGAAACATGGGTCGTTTGCACTGTAATTGGTATAATGCTTTTTGATCTATTTCAATTCGGTCATCGTAAAATAGATAATTCAATTTATCTATTTTTTCGAATTGAACATGTTAAACACGATGGAATATAACAGGATGTCTACAATTTATATAAATATAATCTTAATAAGATGAAATCTTAGTCGAAGCGCCGGTAGCATATTTAACGCCAAACTTGGATTTGATTTAAGTACGATTAATAAAAACAATGTGTTTATATTGACTAAAGTATAGACTATTATTATTTAGAAAATTAAAAATGAACTTTTGTTCTGGTCCCTGGATTTTTTAACCATGTTGATATGTTCGTTCTATCATATATAAATACTATTACTAATACCTGTATAAATCATTGAGTAGGTTAACGATGTCAAGTGGTTGACTCTGAACTCCTATAGTAGTAAAACCAACGATATCACTAAAGTATACTGTGACTTCATTGAAATGTTCAGCATCAGATGTATTCCCTGTTTTCAAAATGTTAGCAATTTTCTTTGGTAACATCTGATAAAGTAGATTATCGGTCTTTTTCTTCTCTTGTGCTAGTTCGTCACTTTTCCGCTTGACTTTATTAGCATAGTTTGACAAGTTTCCGGTCAGTTTGGCAATGCAGTACATATACCAAGTTGACAAGATACCGCTAATTGTTATAGCAACTATTAAAGTGGACAGAAAAAGTGTAAACTCAAATTGTGCGATTGATTGCAGGTCTTTTAGACCATATTGTATCTCTTTATTGATAGACTCACGAATTTCAAAGAAGATATCAATAAAAACCGTCATATTATTAAACCATTCTATGCTGTAATCTTCTCTCTCAGGCAGTGAGGTAGAACTACAAATATTTTCATATTCTATGAATAATTGAAATGTATCATGAGCATCGATAAAATTTGACAAATTAGCCGAGCTCTGTTTGTGTTCTGTGAGCTGTATTTCAATCTTTCTATCATGATAAATAGCCGTGTCTAAAAACGCAGAAGACCTTCCCTGCAATGACTTGTAATTTGTCTCTATATCTTTAGATGGCCATCCACATGAGGTAAAAAATGTCGTTCCAAGAGCTCTTTGTATGCCTCTGTCATCTGTCAGTGATAATAAAGCGCCACTAGCCACCATTAACATTTGCACCGCTGCGTTATCCGGGGGAGTTACAGACTGGGAAATATACTTCAATAAAGCCTTTGTTATTGTTGTATAATAGTCTAAATTATACACGATATCCATAGATCTGATATCAACATCCTGTCTATGTCTGGTTAAGGAAAACATTAAGTCATCAACTGTCCATGGAGTGTTCTGAATAGAAATACCCACGTCAGGCCACTTCACTTTCCACAAACTAGTGTTCGTTTCTTGTCTAAGTACATGAAGCTGACCTAATATAGTAGATGAAAAGTTTGATGCCCATATGAAGGATGTAGACATGCCTCGTTCTCGTTGAAGATGTTTTACCAGGTCACTGGTCTTAAGACTGGCGTCAATACTCTCTATAGCTGTAGATGTACTCTGTCGGATTTCAGACGCTCGACTTAAAGAGAACGAAGAAAGCATTAGCATTGCTGATATAGGGACAATGATGACAACGAACATTTTCCAATGCTTACAGAGTCTCTTTATAATAGATGCACTAGTCTCTTCTATTACAGTGCTAAGGATACGTCGATCACTCTCGTTACCAACACTCGAAGCTTTGGATCCAAAATCTATCCGCCAGTCTGGACTTATTTTCCCGCTTTTCGTGCCTTTCATCATTGCTCAAAAATGTTTTGGCATCTGATTTTTGCTGTCTGTAAAATATAATCAATAAAAAAAATCTGCATGGAATAAATGCAAAATGATTTTTATGGTATTTATTTCTTATACAGGCTTTGAAAAACCGTTCATTAAATGTACATTGTCCAGTTATTAACTAAAGCTTGTTTTGTTCCAAATTAAACTACCCAAACGATACAATTTCGGGAGATACATTTTATCCTTTCATATTAGGAAATAAACACATAATTCTTCTTTTTCGTTTTTAAGTACACTAGTGCAATAGAACAAGAGAGATATAAAAGTAAACATACATGTACAAATGCATTCTTTTTTTTTCAAATGCTTGAAATTTTCAAACTGTTATTTTCATTTTCTTTCTTTCACGTAACCAATGAATCTTATAGGTAAAAAATATTGGCCGCCTTAAATGGAACACATTATAAAGATGATATCTATATAGCATATAAAAATCATTGTCAACTAGAGTCTGAATCATTCTGAAAAATCACACACGATGGAAGTTCCGAACTCAGCAGTGAAAATAATTACCTCATATATCCATGCGTGAAAAATTACAACAGTACAGGGTTTATACTTTTTTTAATAAGACCAAAATCGATAAGCAAAATCTTGAAGGTGGATTAATAATTTGATTACGTTATGTAATTATCATACTTCGGTTAATGAGATTTAATAAACCATGACTTCGGATTATTACTAGTCTATTTCTGTCGATTAAATACAGGGAAGATGTCCACATTGAATGAAATGGAAAAGATAGAAACAATAACAACGGATGGTCCTTTCAGATCCCTAACAATAAAATATATCAAGGAGATGTAGTATGATTGCCAATGAGACCAAAAGACATAGATGGTAGCAAAGTCTGTTTCCCATAACCCAGAATGCACACCGTAAAGAAATAAAAATATAAAACAAAAAACAATCCCATGATATCTCGTATACTTGATAATGATGTTTTGAACACAGTTACTTAATTTGTGATGTCTAAGCAGAACGAATATACAATGTGAATCAGGCGATTTATCTGTATTTGAGCTTGTGACTTCTTTTAATAGCAAAGTGCGATCATATATATAATTTCAACAGCAGCAATCGGCTGTTGAGGTACGATAATTGTCATCTTAAACTATTGTAATCAAGAAAAAAATAATATTGATTCTTTTCATAGTACATATTATTATCTTAATGCAATCAGGCTATTTTTCTAAAACAAAGTAACTAATAAATCAATCAAGGAAGGAAGAGAAAAATAATAGGTTAAGATGCAGAGATGTTTTACTCGTCTTAAACGAGTCATTTGGTGTCTTGTGTAAAGTTCTCTCATTGGCAATAATGCGACATCTTCTTGTTCTTATATTAAGTATTTTAAAAGACATATTGAATGTAAGGCGAATGTCAGAAAAAATATTAACTTCTTTTATTTTTATTATTTTTATGTTATAGTTTTAACAGACTACAATATAATCCTTAAAAGTTTCAACACATATATAATAGGATAGAAAATTATTGACATGCAATGACGTTGTATTAAATATCTCTTTGTTCATATATTTGTGGTATACATTTAGTAAAGACAACTGGAACTGTTCCAGCTGCGTATGAAAAGATTTTCTTATTGAATAACGATGCAAATTTTTCTTAACACCTGAGGCTGACACTGAAGTTTCACATTTTCTAATATTTCTAGTTTTACTAAAACACTGTCTCTTGATGTCTATTACATCATGTAATATCAACAATAAAACGCTTGCAGGCGTACGAAAAAAGTATGAAGAAGTCGTACAGAATATTATGTTAATACAATGGTATGTATTATATATAGTTTTCTTATATCTGAGTGGCGTTAGTAACGAAGATATGAGACGACTATAGCTAATTTGCATAGAAGTAATACATATTTTTTTTTATCTCTTTTCTTGTTCTAAATAGAGAAATTAATTTTGATAAAACAAGAATAATGTCATTATCTCAAATTTACCAGATGCAGCAACACTTTCAAAAAGAAATCTTGATTGCGTCAATTTTTCTGTCATCAGATTGATACCGTATCACTGCTTTTGTATGGCAATATGACCGCTGTAATATCTGCGGCTCTTTTCACAAAAAATCTGAAGAGTAAAAGTACTCGTAAGTCCTACACATTTCAGTATAACTTACGATCAATTTTAATCGTAAGAGTTTTTGTGAAAAGAGTCGCAGGTCTTTTTCTCATTTAATTGCCTAAAAACCTGGAACGTTTTGCTAATAAATGATAACACTTCTAGGTATATTATATTATTGATTGGTACATTTACACGTATAACTAGTGACCATTGTGTGAGTGAACATTCGTAATTAAGAGCAAATACATATTATTTTTAGGATAATTAACCAATAATTATCAGTCAGCATGTTACTTGTTCATTAAACAATGATTCTGGAAATGCGATAGAGACACATCATTATAGTTACTTTATCAGCTTATTAACCAGTTTAGTGCGTTATGTATGAAACTGCCCCTTTATTAATAAAAGCAAAACTGGTCCATTACAGACTAAGAGGGCATTAATACAGGGCCATTATGAATAAACAGGGCCATTATGAATAAACAGGGCCATTATAAAAAAAAACATGGCCATTATGAAAAAAACAGGGCCATTATGAAAAAAAAAAACAGGGCCATTATGAATAATCAGGGCTATTACGGATTTCAGTTGTAACAGTTACCAATTCAAATACATTTCTGGGGGAAAGAAACATCAATAAATTGAAAGTTTCCAAGAATGATGACTTATCTTATTTGACCCAGTTGTGAAGTTA